GTGTGTGTGTGTGTGTGTGTGTGTGCGTGTGTGTGTGTGTGTGTGTGTGTGTGTGTGTGTGTGTGTTGAGGTGTGCTTGAGGGAAGGTAATCAGGGGTGGATGCCCGGGGGGCTTCAAAGCAAGTGGCCTCTGATGGTGTCGCCATTTCTGCAGCCTGCTGGTCTTCTTCCCTTCACGTGTGCCTCAAAGCGCGGGTGACCTGTTGCAAGCCGCGATCAAGCCCCGTCAACTACTCGGCCCCTCCTATTGGTCTGCAAGGGTTTGAGGTTGGACCCTAAAACCTGGGCCAGGCCGGGCTCGCCCATGACTCACCTGTGAGTAGCGCGTCATGCACACGCGGCTGACGATGCCCTTAGTAATGGACAGCGAGTCGCCGCCCACGGGGTAGCCTGCGACGGAGCCAAGGTGCAGGTCAAGAGGGGACACGGTGGGCGCAGAGATGAACGTAAACCCTGAACACTGGACCCTGAAGCAGAAGACGCGCCCTCAGTTGTGTGGGCAGGGGTTGAGCGGCGTCGCTTTTGGCGGAAAGCAAAAGAGATTGGCAAGGCCGGATGGGGGGCGGTTCGGGCGGTGCCGTGGATGCAAGGGGCCGGTCCCCCCCCCACGCGTCGCGCGTCTGTGGACGTGGCCGCGGTGTCGCCCTGCACCGTCGTGTGGCGGAAGGCCCACACCCAGATAAATCAAATGCTCGCGCCAGCGTTTGAATTACGCCGCAAATTCGAACACACATCCCTTGCAACCCTACTCTGCCCCCAAGAGAACCTCTCTGCAGCCGGGGAGGTTCGCCTGCAACCGGCGCTCACGTCTGCGTGCCTGCCGTTTGCGAGCGCCGGGGGCCGGCGGCCCCCGTGCTCACCCGCGTCCGCCATCCCCACAACCCCCACACTGCCCAACATATCAAGCGGCGTCCAATACTGCGACAGGCCTCCATCCCAAAAGCTGCACCAAATGTATGACGTGCCGCCCAGCCCAAAAACTGACTCTGGCCGCCATGATACCATATCATAACCCACACAGGTGCCGGGGTGGTGTCAAGTAAAATGGGCCCTCGTTTCCAGCGTACCTCATACAACTAAACCCCAACCTTCCACGCCCCAAAAAGTACGCTGCACCCTGCATTATATACATACCTTGAACCCTGACGATCACCCTGACCGCTCACCTGCCACCAGCACCGGCGACTGCAGCTCGGGCGTCTCTGATACGAAGGTCAGCGCCCGCAGCCCCTCCCAGAATGAGTCATCGGCCACAGTCAGCAGCGCCAGGTCACACTGCGGGTGGCAGTGTGGTCGTCATGCAGCAGTCAGGGAGAGAGGGGATTAGACCCGTAATCAATCAGCACCTTCACTTCCATGTGCATGTCGTCACGGCGCGCCCGCCATGACGACGCGGCGCAACGGCGTCGAGCCGCCCGCCCCGCCCCGCCAACCCACGAGGCACCAGCCGATAAAATGGACACTGTGAGTTGACCCCCGCCCCCACCTGCTTTGCCAGGCACGCTATCGTGGCCTTTGTCTTTTTGGGGTCCCCTGGCCGCCTCACATACACAGTGGTCGCATTGGCCACCTGCAGGGGTCAAAGAGTGGGGAGGTGGGTTGACGCTCGGCGAAGCCCAAGCAACGGGACGCGAGGAGGTGGAGCGAGAGCTCAGGGGACGTCAGGATGTGGCCGCGGCGCATCCCGCCGTCGCGTGCACACGCGTTTGGTGGCCTGCGGCCTTCGAGGGGCGTGATCAATCGAGAGGCCGACGGCATCCGCCCCCGCACGCATGCGCGCGCCGCCGGAGCCTGCCGGCAGGCGGTCGCCGAGGGGCCCTCCGCCGGGCCGGTGCGGCGAGGGCCGACCAGGCAAGCGGCGTCCTTGGCGCAGCACAAAACAGCTGGGCCCGCGCCGGGGCCCTTCCTTTGGCGCCTGCTGGTGCACCTCAGCCGCCCCTCTCGCCCTCGCTGCTTGCCTCCCAATTGCCAATCGCCAACAAACGACCATGCCGGCCGACGGCCGCGCGTGGGCCGCACGCGGCACACACGGCCGACGAGCGGGGGCGCGGCGCGGCGCGCGGCGCACCACATGGGCATTTGTGATGACGAGGCGCCTGTCGACGTCCAGGACAAAGGCGCTGCCGTTTGACGAGCGCTGCGGCAGCTTCTGCCAGGGCTGGGCGTATGAGGGGTCGACCTTGACCACGAACACTGACAGTGGGTTCGGGGGCGGCGCAGGGCGGGGTGCGGGTGCTGCCTGTTACTTTGTTGGTCGTGAGCCGGGGTAGAAAGATACAGGGACAGCCCATGACCGGGCAGGACGGCTGGGGATGCTGTATGGTGGTCCATTGAAATGGAAGTCGGGAAGCCTAGCGGGCCTGAAAGGAGCAGCCTCAGACGCCCCGCGCCCCCCGCGCTTCCCCCCAAGAGGGGCCAGCCGAGCCAGCAGCCGCGGCGGCCGGGCCGCCACGCGTCGCGCTTGGACCGCCGCCCCGCGCGCGTGGCGCCGCGGCGGGGGCTGGGCCCAGGGCACGTCGCCAGCTGGGATTGCCGGGTGCGGGCCTGGGCGCAGCTGCAGCGCACACCCAAGGGCGCGACGCGGCCCTGGTTTCGCGGGTGCGAACGCGAGCTGAAGCCCGCGGCGTTCGTCAAAACAACGCCTCCTTGCCCAGCTCACCCTTGATCACCGAACGCAGCGCCCAGTCCCGCTTGGCCGCCCGCATCGGCACGGCCACCGCCGCCGCCCCGGCCGCCGCCGCGCCCCTTGCGGCGGCCGCGGCGGCGGCCGCGTCGTCGTCTATGAGGGCGCCCACGTCATCCGGCTGCAGCACCTCCTCCTCCATGGAGCGCCGGCTGCTGCCCTCCCAAGAAGCGCGCGGCGCCGCCGCCAGCCTGCCGCTGCGGGGAGCGCGGGCGAGTGCACAGAGAGCACCAACGGGCCCGGGACGGCTATAAGCGGATGTACATCTGCCTACTATGCTTCCATGCGAGCTAGGTGGTGGAGCAAGTAACATGTATCAGATCACGCGCTGATCCCGTGCAGGCGGATCTACGTGGAGTCGAGGTTCAGATTATTGTTGGAAGATGTCGGTTGTATATTGACGTTATGGTAACGTCCGTGCTGTCCGCAACGGCGCTCTTGCCGACGGCGCTCTTGCCCACACTCTGTACTGCGCAGCTGTCACTACTTCTGCCACTCAGCAACCCTCCGGCTGGCTTGTGGCTTCCTCCCTCTGTACACCAGTAGCATGGGGGGCAGGAGGCTGGCATGCATGAAAGTGCAAGGTAGCTGCATTGAAGATATACGTATGAGTCTCAAGGCGCACTTTTCACCGTTGAGGATGCGCTCGCCGACTGGGCAATGGTCACCGCCACATCCCCAACTGCCGGCTGCTGCATCCGCGGCCCGCCCGGGCGCCCTCACATCGAGCCTAGCTTTTATGAAAGACAATACGGGGCGTACAAACACCGCATGCAAGGACTTGTATTTCCAAAGGTGTGCGTTGCCTGCCTGTGGTGTACCTGCTTGAGCTCATCAGCAGCCCCTCATCAGCAGCTGAGAGGGGTGTGTGATGGGGAATTTTCCCCCTGCAAGGTGAGCTGCTGAACCAGGGTCACGGGTATGCACTCAGGTTTGCGCGTTACAGATACAAAGCGCGAAGATGGCGGGTGTTGTCTGGGGCTATGTTGGTTTGGTTTCGTCAGAAGATGCACAATCATGAGTGCGCAACCCGACATGCAACGCAATGCAACGCTCGCCCTGCCGGCGCCGCCGCGTTGACGAATCTGTCGCCATGCATACCGCCCTTGCCGGGTTGGTCAACACCTCAGACGCATTCATGATTTGCTCGACAACGAATGCTTGCTGTTTTTACGATGTGGGCCGTGCATTGCTCATCATTCAATGACCGCAGCACTTGTGTAATAGTCTCTGTGGAGTGGTGGAGAGTGTGCTCCCACACCGTCTTGGTGGAAGCTCTGGCTCGCACTGACTGGGCCGTTTGCAGCATGCGGGCCAGGCAATATCGCCGCCCAAACATCTAGGCGCTTGGTGCAGAGGGGGCTGCTGATTCGTGATGAGGGAGTCACAAGTCCCCTGACTTTGGGGGAGCTCGCAAGCGTGCAAGTTTACAAGGTGGAAAGGTAGCTGAGGAGGGATGGATTGTGGCCTTCAAAACCCTCGTATAGTAAGCAAGACGCGGGCCGCGCCGGGCAAGCAGCCACACACCAGCAAGCAAGCAGGCACACACGAGGCGCCCGCTGAGGGCAGCCTCCAGCCCTCCACGGGAGCCAAGATCGATAGAGGGGTGGGGGGCAACCGCCCCAACACACCGACATTCTGTGTCACGCGTGGAAGGATTTCATTGCAATATAATGTGTGGATTTTTCTTGGGGGTTTTGGTTCGATCGTGTCAAAGCTTGCACCAATCGTGATTGTGCATGTTTGGCACGCATCTCAACACCCGCCCTTGCTGCCGCCGCGACAATCAGTAGTTCGCCACGCGTGGCGGCCTCGCCAATGTTATCTTTGATTCAAACCTCCCTCACATTGTGACGTTCACGCATGATTCATAGAAGTAGTGTGCGTGCTGCACGCACAGCAACGCGGGCCGCACGTCGCTTGTAAACCATTCGTTGTCAGAGCACCCAAACTCAGCCGGCCACTTGCACGCATGGCAACATATTCTTGCCCTGGGGACACATCCCAGGCTACAGGCAGGGCCTCTCTACCAGTATCTGGCAAACTTGAGTCTTAAGAGGCAGTAATCCGTCATGAAGCAAGACGTCAGCCGGCACTGCTAGGGCAGCAGGGGGACCGCAAGCGAAGACTCGTTGCTTCGAGTCGCCGCGCACTGCTGCATGGTCACAAGCGCAGGCTGCAGGGCAGGGCTCGTCCTTGCAAGGAGTGCCGCAACGCCTGCTGCAGCAAACAACACAACAGAAGCAAGAATGAGAAGGTGCGCGGCTGCTTCCCGCAGCTGCCTGCGACCACTGTTGTTGCAAGGGGGAGAGGAAACCGCCGTGACCCCCCAGGAAGACGTCGAGAATTCATCTCTCACTGACATCTGAAAGCGGCGATGAGAGGCCGAGCTTGGAGTGCCAGCGCCGTTTGCGGCACAGGGCCGCCACGGCCGCGATGAGCAAAGCCAGCTGGCGGCGGCGAGGCCCGCGTCGTTGTTGAATCTCACGTTGTCGGAGATTGCCTGTGGACGGGGCGAGCGTGTTGCGTGGTACCGTTTTTTTGTCGCCTGGTTTGCCATTGATGCAACCTACACAATCCAGTTGCGATGCGCACACAGCATGGCTTCGGTGACACTGGTCGTGGAGTGCGCATGGGCGAACGCTCTGTACCGCCGCCAGACAAAGCGTGACCGCCAGCGCATGCAGCCAGCAGGTGGCTGCAGCCTGCAGGTAGCTTCGAGCCAAACAAGCGTTGTTCAATGCAAGCCCATGAACGCGGGCAGCAGGTGGCTGTACTGTTAACAAAAAGGAGTAGCAACCGCAAACCCCGATCACGCATCTGCCCCGCGCCCCTGCTGCCCGGATCGATCTCAGCCACCCCCAACCACCAGTGCAGCAGCCGCGCCCAGCAAAATGTGCTTACATGCCAAACAGCTCGATGCAGCCACGCGGCCATCCCAGCCGCCGTCCCTTCCGCCGCGGCGTCGGCTTGCGTGGCGGCCGCCGCCGCTTGCGAGAGGCTGTCGTGGCTGCTTGTCCGCACCGTCACGTCAAAGCGGAACGAGCTGCGTGGGTTCATCGACGGCACTGTCGCCGTCGAGGATGCGGCGGCATCAACCTGCAATGATCTGCCTGCTGCAGCTGCAGCTGGGGGGACAGGGACCACGCTGTGGCCTTGAGGAGCTATCATTATCCCGTGTGAGTCTTGCTTGGTGATGAGAAAGGACCGCATGTCGGCGGCAATGATCTTGCCTGCTGCATCTGGGGGCTGCGGCGCAGCATGCTGCTGGGGCCGTGGCAGGAGGCCGCCATGCACGAGCCTAGGCTGTGTCCAGGGGCTGTGCGGCGGCCGAGGCGTCTGATTGCCGACGGCAGCCTTTGCTCGAGCAGAGACAAGGGGCAGGGGACGGGATGGGCAGGGCAGTGTACCACCTGATGAGTCAGTTTGGCTTGTCAGAGCTGAATACGCATGCTTGACACATCAAGTTTCCACTTGTGCACATGGCCTGCGCGCAGCTGCGCGCTGCGCCAATCTGTGGGCTGGTGCATTGCATGCAGCATCCGGTGCTAGCCTGTGGTCCGTTTCATGCACACGTGCATGCGCGTCAACTTGACTGCACCCCGCCCCTCCCTCCTCGAGGGACTGGGCAGGTAGCTGCTGAGTTTGAGCAGGCAAAATGACCAGCTGCATGCGGCGCAAAACAGCCACCCCAGCCGTGCTGCACCTCATGGATTTGAACTCCAATTTATCAGACTCACTTTTGCAGCGATGAGGACTTGCAGCGCCGGCGTCGTCAGGCCGCATGTTGGCGCGGCCTGCGAAGCGAGAAGCAGCACTACTGCCGCGACGACGGTGGTGAATCCCCGCGGCATCGGCGTCATCTTGAGGTGAAGTGGGCACCAGCGTGTTGGCTGAAACAACAGAGAGATGGAGGTTGTGTTGTGCTCCTGTGTGTTGTGGGGAGAGGGGCGCCGGGCGGCAGCATGCTTCAATGCTGTGGCCGTGTCAGTCCGCCATAATCAACTTGCAAGCCATGACACAACACCAAAGAAGATAGAAAGGAGTGCGCGAGGAGCCTCTTACCGACTCGGATTCTTTATAAATCCCGTAGCTGTGATGCGCTCGCTAGAAACCCCTATTCAGAACAGTGTCGGGCTCCGACTGCTTGAGCTGTCGGGGTCGACTTTCCGCGACGGGCAAGGCGATTGTACAACAAGTAGTTGTGCGTGATAAACTAGATAGACTATACTTCATGAGCAAGTTCCGCAAGGACTAGAGCTCATGGAACGTGCGCCTTTTTGTATTTCAGCGACGGTGAGTCGGTGACACTCAGACCCTGGGCGGGCACACGCTCTCAGAATGGCCGGTCAACAAGGTTACAGACGAGCATAAATTGCCTTGTTATGTCATGTATCGACCCCGTTTCGGACCAGGCCGTGAACAAGTGCGACGTGCATGACTCAGATTATTTCGTGCCGTGGTTTACTAAAATAATGGATAAGGACCGAAACAGACAGTCAAATGTGTACCGATAAAGGGCAGGGATGCCCCACATGCTTTGTGCACGCTGCTGTTTGCCAGATTTGCTGTACATGCGGCGTCTCTATCTGTTGACGGCCGGCTGCTCAACACGCCAGCCGTTCAAGGATGATTCGTCTGACAATGCTTGAGTAATGAAATGGGAGTAAAAAGGGTTTGTGTACATTATGAGAACAGCAAGGCGCAGCAGAAAAGTGAGGTGAAAGGGTATGACACAGACACGCTCGACGTACATGCGACGGCGCCAACAAAACAGCCCGGCAGCTCGACGCATGATTCTCGCGCAGACGCCAGGCCACGCACGGGTAGCACATACATCTGTGGGGCGCGGGCCTGCATGGTGGTGGTGAGCAGAGGCGGATTCCCCGTTGCCGTGGCCTTTGTTTGCGGAAGCAGCACAGGCTGTATGGGTTGAAATCTGGCTGCCGGCGGCCGGGCTCGACACGAGGCAGTTTTGAGTGGGTCATCCACAGCTGTCGAGCGCTCGTTTTTCCGCCGCCTGCAACCGCACTCGCTCGCAGCCTGCTTGTGCTGGCGCGTGCAGCGCGCCAGGCTGATGGATCCTGGGTGCCTGATGGTCAGCAGGAGGCAGGGTACCGACTGAACCCCATGTGCGCTAAGACACGCGTTTAACGAGCGGCAAACCTGGTTACTTTGGCGTTGACAGGGGGGATGG